CTTTCTGCAGCCTTTCTACTGCTACTTCTTCGCTTCTTCTTACTGCTGTCTTTCAGCCACACCCCTGATCTTCTGGTAGGAAAGATCTACACCTAGCCTTCTCGGACAAGGGCGAAAAAATGTCGGAGGGACCGTGTGCAAGTTGCGAACGTTAAAGATCCCTTGGTGGTCTAAATTTGATAAGAGTAAGCTTCGGCCGCCACCCGGGCAAAATTCAAAATTCCCTACCAACTGAAAATATTAGGTGTGTCCCGTGCGCTCATATGACCTTATGCAGTTGCGAGCGCCGTAAAACACTGTACCAAAACAAAACAAACAAAAAACGAACACCCAGCCTTCTCGGACAAGGGCGAATTTAAAAATCTCGGAGGTCCCGTGTGTAAGTTGTGCACGTTAAAAATCCCTCGGTGGTCCGAAATCGATCAGAGTAGGCTTCGCCACCCCGACAAAATTCAAAATTAATTCCTACCAAACTCAAAATGTTTAATGTATCATACATGTATGACCTTATACAGTTCCATAAAACACCAAAAATAAACACACACACACGCGCGCGCACACACACACACACACACACACACACACACACACACACACACACACACACACACACACACATATATATATATATATATATATGTATGTATGTATGTATATATGTATATATATATAAGCTGGGCCCCATTTCGATGGGAGGAATGATCGATGCATTAACATCAAAAGAAAGACATGGGCCTACTATATTTAAACTGTATATACTACTGGAATGGAGCAATAAATCTTGAGAGAAGAGTGACACACATATTTCTAAGTTTCCAATAATAGATGTATAGATTGATCCTCTATTCCGCTTTCCTGGTTGTACACTCCAGAATTTCAAAGGTCTGGAATCGGTACGTACGGCTAGTGAACGGAAACTTCACTTGTTTACAATGGCGTCTTAGAAAACGGACTTTCCCAAGATTTGGACTCTGTGTGGACGAAACAAAGCATTTTAGAAAAGTCAGGGAAAGCAGTTTGCTTTGAACAATAGCCACATGGATTTTTTTGGGGGGGATGCTGCGGACGCATGCAAAGTTTCAAAGGTGTGGGTTAGGGAATAAGGGAGGAGTTTGTGCACAAAGCTTCCCAAGTCCACATATAAGATACACACACACACACACACACACACACACACACACACACACACACACACACACACACACGCGCGCGCGCGCGCGCGCCACCTTAAAAAAGTACATGTATCCAAATATACAGTGGAGTCTGCTTAAAGTGAACTTTTTGGGACCAGTCCGAGGTTCAGTTTAACCATTTTTTGGTAGGGTGGAGGCCTACAGTCTCTCTCTCTCTCTCTCTCTCGCTAGAGAGAAGAGGGGTGAGGGGGGGGGGGGGGGGGGGGCTCGAAATCATAATATATCTATTTATATACACGTACGTAGGTCTACTATCAAAACTATAAAAACT